CTCAGGTCAAGCGAAGAGCAAAGGAGGGGGGGGAGGTGCAGGCGACTCTTCGGGATATGTGGCGGGTGTAGTTTTTGGTTTCGAGAGCAAAGCACTTTCATTGCCAACGTTCGTCGTTTGCCTTGGGTAAGGTCTCGTGAGGTTGAATTTGGCGTTTGTGTTGTGTTGTGCCTCGTTTTGACCTTTTGGGAGGCGCGGTGTCCTCTTTATCGCTGTGCTTTCCCGACATTTTTGGTCTCTGTGTTTCTGCGTAACCTACATTTTCCTAGTGTCGTTTTACAACCTTCGATATTTCTCAGGTGCGGTAGCGAGATCTTGGGCAAGATATTCACGGGGAGGACAACGCCTAAAAAATATAGTAAAGCAAACAATTAAGCCCATATCAACACCAGCGCACTACCGTCGTGTACATGTACGATGCGTGGGTCGTAGAACACCATCGCTTTAAGCGTTTTGGTGGTACAGTACGGGGAAGTTCAAACGATGGTATGCAAGTATGTACTGCAGCACAATAGCAGCAGTGGTTGCGACCTTCAAATCACCTTGTGTCGTATGTTTCAAACAACACCTCTTGTGGTCGCCTTTCTGCTGCGAATGCGCACCTTTTGACTTGTGTTTCGCCTTCATTGGCCCCGAGGATGGTTCGTTAGTGGCCCCGGAATTTTAAAGACACTTCCCCGCGTGAAAGACACATTTTTTTTTGGGAAAACGTGGTGTCTTCAAAGCGAGGTCGACTGTATTGGAGAAGGAACATGGCTTTAGTGAGGGCCAGGCAGGTTTCCGACAGAAGAGGGGGTGCGTAGACCACGTATTCACGGTAGGAAGAATCATCCAAGGTAGAAAGAGGGCGGGAAAGCCGACGTACTGCTTCTTCCTGGACGTGAAAAAGGCATACGACACCGTATGGAGAAATGAGTTGTGGAAACAACTGTCCAAATACGGGATCACGGGGAAAATGTGGAGAGTGCTGAACAAGATGACCGAGTGTACGAAGAGCGCGGTCATGGTAGACGGAGAACTGTCTAAATTCTTCGACATTGAGCAGGGGGTTCCACAAGGTTGCACGCTGTCTCCAACATTGTTCTAGGTGTTCGTCAACGATCTGTTGGAAGTCGTAGAGGCAGTCCGGAAGGGAGTAA